AAATTTTGTGCAGAATGATCCCCCTCCCCATGTGAAGATTCTCATCAAACTAGGGTTTGATCTCAGGGTTTCTCAATACTTGAAAAACATGTTTTAATTATTTTTCAAATATTTTCATATATTCTTTCCATACCGATGCATGGTCAGTAAAGAATTGAAATCTATACAACAATTAAAAAAATGGGTTGCTACTGTTAACTGTCATCAAGACAACCTAGACCTATGATAGCCCTATGAATGACAGACCTCCACATCACCCTATCATCAACAGTCCTGTTTAAATCTTTCAGATTCAGGGCTGTGACTTCCTTGATTGAATCTATCCATCTCTAATATTTTTTTCCTATTGCTTACTATCTTATCAAGCACTTTCTCTTTTCTAGTGAGTCATGCATTCTCATCATATTTCCATAATATGACAGTTTCAGTTTATTCATCTTGGCTTCCAAGGAGAGCTGAGGCCTGACTTGTTCTACAATCCACCAATCTGTCATTTAAAAATTCACAATATCCATAGAATTCTTCTCCAACACCACTTTCCAAATGAGTTGATTTTCTTCCTATCAACTTCTTCACTGTCCACCTTTCACAACCATACATAGGAATGGAAAATATGATGGCAAGAACAACCCTAATTTTAGTATTCAATGATATGTCTCAACACTTCAGGAGCTTGTCAAATCTTCAATAGATTCCCTTCCAATTCCTAGTTTTCTTCTGATTTCTTGACTGCAGTCTCCATTCTGATTAATGATTGAGCCAAGGTATGAAAAAGCTTTTAAAAGATTTTAATTTCTTATCATTTACTTTAAAGTTATGTAATGGGTCCTTGAACAGATCAAGCCTGAAATCTCCTTGGAAGCCAAGATGATCAAATTGAGGCTATCATACTTTGGCCACATAATTAGGAGACACAACTCACTGGAAAACACAATAATGCTGGGAAATGTAAAGGGTAGTAGAAAGACAGGAAGACCACACCCCAGATGGATAGACTTAGGGCCTTTACAGACTGCCAGAAATAATGCAACCTGAATCCACTTTAACTGCCTTGTCTCAGTGCTAGGGAATCATAGGAATTGTGGTTTATTGTGGCACCAGAGCTCTCTGACAGAGAAGGCTCAGTGTCTCAGAATAAACTACAGTTACCATGATTCACTAGCACTGAGCCAGGACAGTTAAAGTGGACTCAGGTTGCATTATTTCTGGGTTTCTGTAAAGGTCCTCAGTCAGGGAGGTCACAGAACTGAATTTTCAGGATCTAAGCAAATCAGTGGAGGAGAGGGGTTCTTGTAGATGTCTCATCTACAGAACCACCATGAATCAGGATTGACTCAAGGGCAATTAATAACAACAAACAAAAAATCTTCTGTGATCTTTCGCTCCCCCATCTTGTTAGCGAGTGAAGATATCATTTTCTATTTAAGGATCTGCAAGACTCCTATCGAATACTGCTGACAGTATCATCCTTAGGGAGAAAAAAGAATACCTCATGCCTTGACAGTATATTTTGTTCACTAGATGGTGTTGTACAAGCACAACTTCTTCATTGGAAGCTAGTGAGAATGTAACCCCTTTTTATAATGCTGCTAATATAAGTCCAATTTAAAATTAACGGTGCACAACAGTGGGAAATCCTGTAGTTTAGACCTATACCTGTGAAGTGGCTTACACAAGAAGGCTTCCTGTGGAATCATGCTTTTTCTGTTCCACTTTAGCTCCTATTTACATATATTTAAAACTTTCTACAGTACTTATTAGGTACATTATTTATTTAGCATCAGTGCAGCGCAGCAGTGGTAACTGGGAAATTCTGTCCAAGCAAAGAGCAAGAGACTGCTTGGAGCGGTTTCTAAAAAATAAATGACTAGAAATGCATAATGGCTTTGAAAAGTTATATAACTGGAAACGAATAGTTACTGACACTAAAGGAAAACTTGGCAGCCTGGATTTCTTACAAATGTCAGGTGCCTGCTTTTAATTCATTGCTGCTTGACTGATTGATTGGAAACATGTTATTCATGGCAATTAACAAAATATATAATAAAACTTCATTGAAATAGTTAAAAATAAAAAAGTACACTGTATTTCAGAAGAGTGCAATTAAAGAGAAGCAACAAAAATGCCTGAAAGATGTTCCAAATCCCATTAAAGGCACAGTGACAATGAAATTAAGAGAGCCACCATGTGCATATTAAGGGCCTTTGCAGACTGCCAGAAATAGTACAAATTGAGTCCACTTTAACTGCCCTGGATCAGTGCTAGGAAATCATGGGAACTGTAGTTTATTGTGGCACAAGACCTCTCTCACAGAGAAGGCTCAATGTCCCAGAAAAAAATACAATTCCCATGATTCCCTAGCACTGAGCCAGGGCAGTTAAAGTGGATTCAATTTGCACTATTTCTAGCAGTCTGCAAAGGCCCTAAAGGGGGTTGCAGACTGCCAGAAATAGTGCAAATTGAGTCCACTTTTAGGGTTAGGGTTAGGGTTATGGAATCATGGGAACTGTAGTTTATTGTGGCACCAGAACTCTCTGACAGAGAAGGCTCAATGTCTCAGAAAAAAAACCATTCCCATGATTCCCTAGCACTAACCCTAACCCTAAAAGTGGACTCAATTTGCACTACTGTAATAGGGGTGGGCAAGCTTGCTGTGCTCCATAATAGTCCCCCAGAACAAAGCCTGAATTGTCCAGAAG